TGGACTGTTTTTCATCTCTTGCCTTTGTTGGTAATTTTCCTCCTGTGCTTGGAAGGCTTTCGATCTTTTGAGGATTGTTTGAGAAGGCAGTTTTCCATGTTATGAAGATTAGCAGTTAAAACAGCTCATAGTGTTTCAAGATGGTGCGTTCCATGATGTAATGAGATGTGTTCTTGGTCTGAGCAGGGAATTAATGACTTGTAATTTGCAGCTAATACAAAATGAAACAAGCATATGCCAGATGTAGGATGCTGAGCCTTGCCATTTAATTAAGGAGGAACTAAGAGTGAAATTAGGGTTAAAAGCCCTGAATAGACTTGATTATTGTTATGAAACAGTGAACTGATAGGAACATATTGGAGATGCAAAAAGCTCAAATTAGTATATACTGTATCTTTGTGGAATTTGCAGTGCTTGTAGATGACAAGGCTGGCAGGTATGGCTTAAGCCAGTCTTGTATTAGCTTTTATTGTTAGGAAGATGATTTACTTTTTTTTTTTTTTTTTGTATGCAGACACTTTATTCTGTAATTTTCAGCTATCCTGCCTGCCATCTGTATATTCAGAGGAAGAAGTTTAGGGAGAATTTGATTTGTCACAGCAGTTTACAGACTCTTTTTTTTTTTTTTTAAATTGTATTTTGAAACAGTAATGATTATACACTAGATACATTAAAAATTTATCTTCCAAGCTTTTAGTACTTGAAACCTGACTAATAAATAATTGAAATGTCAACACAGAGAAAGGGAATTCTTAGGGATGCATAATAAGGGCATAAAATAAAAAAAAGAACTATTTTATTTATTTGTTTGTTTGTTTATTCGTCTTTAGTAGCCATGCTAATGTTTAGTCAAGGAAAAAAGAAATCTTCCTTGAGAAGCTTTTCTATGCAAAGAAGGATTCATATGGTCATGTGTTTTGTTTCCAGACTTATTTGAGGTGATCTGCAGGGAAGTGACACTTTTTAAAAAAGTAGCTGAGTAGGAAAAGCTATTTATAAGAGATCCTTAAATATGAGTTGAAGAGCTTAAGTAGTTAACTCTGATATGTGTGTGCCCGTAGGAGAACTTAGGCACAAATTGTGATGTCAGCATTACTAGTGCAATTAGTCTGAAAGTTTTATGGGTAACAAAATATTTAAACTGATTATGAAGATACAGCCACTTAAGTGGTTTGTGGCTGATGAGATTATCTCAGCAGTTACATGACTGAAAGACAGTAGGCTTAGCTCTGTTTGCTTTGTGCTTTCTTTGGTTCAGATTCTTGCTATTCTCAATCTATTTCTTTCATGGGACTTAATGTTATAAAATTCTGCAAAAACCTCTTTAGGAGGTGTCATTATAGGGCTTTTTATATTGATCTGTTCAAGTTCATTAATTTTTGTGCTTTTGAAGAAAATGTGATTTTTGGAGGTGTTTGAAAAGTGTTAAGTGACTTTCATACTTCAGCATGGTCTATGTTGTGGAAAATGAGCCAAGCAGGTAATACCCAAGATCTATGCAGGCACGTGTTTAGTACGATAGTAAACTGCTTAAGCCAGCTGACTAGTGTGTAACTCCGGTTGCAGTGCATGTTTTTTCGCTGTTTTCCAACCAGACTTTTGTGCATCTTAACTTTCTGTTCTGTTTTCATTTGAACACTGAATTAAAAATTGGTATTTGAATCTAGAATTTTTACCCTCTAATAGGTAAAACTTGCAGTGCAGTGAACTGATGTCAGGATAAAACTGACAGGAGCTGAAGAAGCCTTTGACTGTGCCCATTTTTTTTTTCTGTGGGGAAATATACAGGAAGAAAGAATTAAAGTTTTTGAAAATTGACAATAGAAAGGCATGGCAGGTTTTGCCTCTTTTCCTCTATATACATTCATCTCCGCTTCCTGCATGCAAGCTTAACTTTTTTGCTTCCTGTATAGGGTTTGCTGCCTCACAGTATGCAAAGCTAATTGTGTGAGTATGTATTCAAACATGGTCTTTGATGAATAGGTATGCCCTTTTGTAAAATACTTTTTTTTTTTTTAAATTATGGACGTAGCACCACACTTCCGCACTATCCTTAAGATATTAGATGTTTATTTACGAGTCTTACTCCTACAAAAAAATCAGATCTGATAGCATGATAAATTACATGTAGTGTTTTATGCAGAAATAATTTGAACAGACATTATACAAAACCTATTCAGAAAGAGTTATTCCCCTGCTGTCTGTGGGAGAGATTAGGATTCTGAAAATTTTCGCTAGAGGAGATTTAAGAATCCCTTTCCCAGGCTGTGGACCTTCACATCAATCTGTGTGGTTGTGTAGCTTTTGACCTGACACCAACTCCAGTACAGTTATTTGTACTGGTAGCTCTGGGACAGTGAAAGCTTATCGTTACATTTGGTTTAGAATGCGATGGCTTAAAAATCTGGCATGCTGGATTGAGACAAGAAGCATGTATTTGTAAAGCAGATCTACTGCTGTGATGGGCTTTAAGTGCATTTTTGCCCCTTTTGGTTTAAACTTGCTTTTTCTTTCTTCAGAGGCTTTTGTGCTGACCTGGCCTTCCTTAATTGCAGCTTCGGTGTATTCAGCCAGAGCTGTGCCCCTGATTCTATCTGACAACCTTTGTTCCTTATAGTAACAAATGAAAATGTAGTTGTGCACACAGATGTGTCTTTTGGCTGGATTTTGTTTCAGATAAGTACTTCCCAGGCTATTTTATTCTTTTTGCATGAATGTATGACCATTGCAAGGCCTAATGTAGTCTTTAGTATTTTCTTGGGTTTGTGTATTCTTTTTGTAACAGTGAATGGCTGTTAATTTACCTGTATTCACCTCGAATTTCATCACCTAGAATTCTTTTAACTTCTACTGTAATGGTTAAAATGTGTAATTTTTTTTTAAAAAGCATCTGAACATGGGTTGCATACATACACGCGCCCACTTGCCTTCCATCTGTGATGTGGAATGACTACAAAATACTGAAGCACGCAGAAGGAATTGCTACCACTGTTCGCATAAGAGACAAATGATCACATACTTATTTTGGAATATTGTAGAAAAACTCTTAAATATTTAAAAGTCATATTTCTCAGAACTTCTCTAATCTAAAATAGAAGTCCCTATTCAAAGGTTCAGTTCTTTGCGTTCAGATGGAAATTGTTAATTGAAGGCGTGAAAGCATGCCAGTAATAATTAGGGTTTAGCTGTATGCTGAAATTAGCATAATCCGTAACAATTTCATGTATGACTGTGCACGTTAGAAGCATTTATTTACAGATTTGGCTTATGTTAAATTGCAGTTCACTTTTATGCACAGTTTTAGAGAGGATGTAGTTTAAAAATGTCATTTAAGCATTCTGGGTAATAGTTCTCAGGTTATAACTGGGAAATGTGTAAATACCATTCTACTCATCAGGTTTTGGTGAGTTGATTTATGCTATGCTAGATCAGATGTTTTATACAGATGTGTACACTCTGTATTGCATATATTTGTGAATAGGAAATTCTTGTATTAAACTGTAGTAAAACCAAATTCATTGCTTCCCCAAATTATCTGTTTTCAGACAACAGATTATTACAAAATAAACTGATGTAGTCTACAGCTCTCTTGTGACAGATGAGTGTGCCTGTTCCATACCGCCTTGCAGGGGATGATAACAGAGAGGGCGATTGGAGTGTATGTCAACAGAAAGAGCAACCTCTCCCTTTTTATCCTTCATGTAATACAAGAACATAAGAGCACATCTTTGGCTGTTGTTTGGAAGTGGTGCATATATGCATGTTCCTTGTAGTGCTTTTATTCAAAATTCAAGTGGTTCTAATTTTTTTGGTGTTCTTCTAAACTGAGATGTGTTTCTGTACAAAGATTTAATACCATTTAGCTGAGTCGTTTTAAATGTTAGTTTATCAAAGCTTCCCCGAGTGTTTTCATATAGATGTGGTAATTTATTGCTTTTGAAAAATCTTTCCTACTTTATTCGAATTTATGCTTCCTGGTACACTTGAAGATAAAAATATCTTAAGTATAAAGGAGCAATTAATCTCTTCTTTTTTTTCATTATAAAACATTTTTCTGGTGACACTTAAAAAGGATTAAGTGATTTCTGTGTCTTCATTTATATTTTTATGTTGTTATAGTTGTTTGTCACTTCAGTAACAGCATGTATAAAATCACCTGAATTTCTAAACATTTTTAGGTATTAATTTGCATTTCGTAGAGGTGTTAACAAACATGCAGAAGTTTGCTAGCCTTAATGTAGTGCATGAGGTACTGACAAAATAGCACAGTGAAATGTTTCTTACAAGTCTTGTGTTATACAAACCATTTTTTTCCAGCATGAGACAGCTGTTGCAACTTCATTGAAACAGCCAGGCAGTTGAATGTATGTAAGTGTAGAGTTACAATAATGAATGCAAAGTACTCTTAGGGGGCAGTTGTTATTTTCGAAATATGCAGCGCTAATAGCTTTTGTAGCCCTTGGAAAAGGGTAGTGGTGATGTTTCCTTCTTACTGGAAAAGAATGATTTTTCTCATGATTAACTGATTGATCAACCCTTTTAGAGGACTGGATGGTACTTCATCAAATTCCTTAAGCTCTAGTTTGTGGATATTTGTAAAGATAGTTGTAGATCAATGGCATCTGCAAGTAACTATATTATAGTCTATCTTTTCTACACCAGCTACTTTGCTTTTGCACGCCCTGGAGATGCAGCCTGATTCTTCAATGCTTGTTAGAAATTCTTCTGCCATATTGTAATACAGATTTTATTTTCAGTTGTCATCTGGCTTATGAATTAGTGCTGATACTAACTGGAAATAGAACCTAGAAGACTTGAAAGGCTGTTCAAACCTAGGACTTAAAACACTAAAAGTTGTGCAAAAATATAGTTACATTCTGAATATACATTTCAAATTTGTGTATTTTAATGACTTCTTAAAGGAAAGCTTTATTCAGTTATAAAGAATTGCTGATTTTATTTTTACTTCTGGGTTAACTAGTGTACTCTTCTATTTCAGAATGTATGAAAACATGTCCACAATGGTGTATTTAAAGGAAGAGAAGTTGGAGAAGCTTACGCAAGATGAAATCATTGCCAAAACTAAGCAAGTGATTAATGGACTAGAGGCACTGAAGAATGAACACAATTCAATTTTACAGAGCTTACTTGAAACACTGAAATGTTTGAAGAAAGATGATGAAACTAATCTGGTTGAAGAAAAATCAAACATGATTCGAAAGTCACTGGAAATGCTGGAACTTGGCCTCAGTGAAGCACAGGTAAAATTGCACTAGAAATAACACATTTCAGACTTTGAATTACTTTTTGGTGTAAAAAATAGTAATAAATGAGAGACTGTTATTCGTCCTATAACTGGAAATTTTGAAGTAGACAGAGATCAGTTTTGAAGGACTTAGAGTCACCTTACTGAATATTAGCAATGTGCTTGGACATTTACGTTGTTATTGTATGTTAAGGAAAAAGACTGTTGTACTTGGTAGAGTTAGATACTGTCTTACTGTGTTACAGAAGTAATTATGCATTCAGTATTAAAGCACTGAAGCTCATAAATGAGCTCTTCTTCCCTCCAGTGAGATAGTTGCTGTGTTCTGTTTAGACTTCTCAACAGCATTAGGCAGGTAGTGTTTCGGCAGCTCAAGAACTGAGCATTGGCATTTTGACTCTAAATTATTGCATTGGGAGGTCTCACAAATAAATGAATTTGCTCCGACCTTTGAGCTCTACCATAATATTAAATTCATATTTTTATTCCCTTGATTCTGAGATTCTTTATAGTAGCTTAGATGCTTCTGGAGCTTAAGAATCTCTAATGTTTATTGAACATTTTACTAAACCAAAATTGCATCTAACATTTTAAAGGTTAAGAATCGAGTACAGAATCTGAACAACTTTCACTGATGTGTTAAAGAACGGACTCTGAGCTAATTTTGGTGAACTGCCTTAGTCGATGAAGGTATCGTCTGCAGAAGATGAGTGAGGAGTTGCATGTTTAGTCAGGATGTCAGGACTGTATTTACAGTCCAGCTTTAGAATGCTTTGTACTAGGTCAAAAACCTGAAACGATGTGATGCAACACAGTATAAAATGGAAGTTTTTTAAGCAAATGAGTTGAAAATGCCAGTGAGTTAACTTTTGTATTAGTAGGCTTTCTGTTGGCCTGTAACTGCGCTCAGTCTTCTCGTCTGGGCTGAGCTGCTGTTGTTCGGTGATCTGGAAGTTGTGTGCGTCGTGTCATGGTAAACTGAGGCCTGAGAGAACGAACAGATATGGGTTACCAGACAACCCTTGGACATTATGGTACAGAATGTCAGGCCTTAGTATATTGTACAGGCCTGTACAATATTCTTCCCTTGTATTGGAAGAAAATCCTAGAAGATATATGGAATAAAATTGCAGTAGTTGTGTTAGCTTTAATGGGTGTTTGTAGAATATCGGTGAGTGAATGAGTAGCTTCTCTTTCCTAACTTTGGCGTGGTATGGGCATTCCAGAAAGCTAGTTCTGATTCTTGGCTCTATCGGATGCAGCAGCCTCAGTTGCAGATGTTAGTGCCTTCTTTGCCCCACATGGTGTTTTGTGAACCGTGATGGTGAGAAACCAAGTCGTCTGCGTTTACTGCCTTTGTTACAAAAGCAATTACACTTCAAGTTACTATTCTCAGACCTGATAAGCCTACTTGTTCTGCCTGCTTTGGGTTGCAACAAGGTAGTGGGTTTTTTGATTTGCAGCATCTAGATTAAGATATGGAAATATTTTATAGATGTGTTTGTGACATGGATGTAGGTCTGGTGACATGTTATTTCTGTGAAAATGAAACTGACTTTGCTGAAGAAGTAATAAAGCTTTTCTTTCAGTTAATTCTGGAGAGTAAGATTACAAAATATTTTAGTTTGCCATTATAGCTTGTAGAACGTTGTTTAAGTATGTTGACCCTATTATGACAATTTTCCTAAATATACTTTCTGATGTTACAAATGCCACTGTTTGCATAGGCCAAGTAATTTAAATTATTAATAGTTTTGAATATGTAAATAGGTAGGTGCTGAAGTCTGGAGATTTGGACTGGTATTAAGAAATTATACCTGGAATTTTATCTTACCTTTGTAGGAAAAAGTAGTTTTTAAAGGCTTAATGTATTTTTTTTAAGCCTGAAATTTCAGCTAAGGACACCATGTTTCACATGAAATACTTAGTTTAAAACAAAGTTACCTTGAAATGTTTTTAAAGAAACATGAAACTGAGGAGATGAAATACTAATAACTTGAGGATGTCAAACTCATTTGAAAGAAGATTTTTATTATCACCAGTGGCCCATTCTTACCAGATGTGCTTCCTGGGATTGCTGTCAGCTGTTCTACGTTTATCAGTGGGAGATTAAATGAACAGTGAAGGGAAAATATCTTCTGCATGTAGTGGTTGGTTTTCACTTAACAAGTTCCAAGTTCCTTTTTAATTTCACTTTGCTTAGCAAAAAAAAATCCATGTAGACTGGTTTTATGGCTGTTGTGTGACTGTTCAAACACATTGAATGTTTGCACACTCAAGCCTATGATATGTATACATAAAGTGCCTATATAAAATGCGTGTTCAGTTGCACATTTAGATCTCAGTAGTGCAATTGTCCCTTTGAAGTATTATCATTATGCTGAGGTGTTCATCCTTGTGAACTGTAAGCACGTACATAAATCCTTTTCTGTTTGAAAGCTCCTAAATTAGACCTCTGTTAGTTCTTAGGTTATTTTTGTGATCCTTTAAGTTAAAAGTGTTACTGCTTCATTTCACGTTAGTGGAACAAAGATGTCCGTTTCAGTAATCTAAATCCCAGTTCTAATTTTTCACGTGTTATAAGATTATATGTTATCTTCAGGGAGTTTTAAAACAATTCGACTTCTCGTAGCATCATAGAAAACAATTGTTAGTGAAGAGTTCCTCTAGGTTAATTCTGGCTGAACAAATGGTAAAAAAGTTCAGAGGAAAAGTAAGAATGAAGTATATACAGAAGAAAAATCTGAATGTTTACCAGGTTTCACAGCTGACATAGGTTTTAAATAATAAAAAGCTTTCATATTAGATACAGAATTGCATTCTAGAGTAAGTATGTCATGTGATACTTTCTGCTTTTTAGGTAATGATGGCCTTGTCAAATCACTTAAATGCAGTGGAATCAGAGAAGCAGAAGTTGCGTGCTCAGGTTCGCCGTCTGTGCCAGGAAAATCAGTGGCTACGGGATGAACTAGCCAATACACAACAGAAACTACAAAAAAGTGAGCAGTCTGTGGCTCAACTGGAGGAAGAGAAGAAACATCTAGAATTCATGAATCAATTAAAAAAATATGATGATGATATTTCACCATCAGTAAGTAGCTGTACAGTAAAAAGCACCCTGTATTTACATCTATGTTGTAATCTGCCTATTTACCAAGAAATGACAGATGCAAGCTTGTCATTGGTCTCTAACATAAATTTGCCATTAAAATGCTTACCTTGTACCAGTGTCACGTAGTTTGCAGAAAAATTCTGAGAGTTCAGTTCATTCGTATTTTAAGAAAGTAAGTGTTTTACTGTCTGTAGATAACAAAATACACGAGAGTGGAAATACATACTTATTTAGTATCATATTAGCTTAAAAAAATATGAAGAAGGGAACTTCAAGCCAAAAAGTTCCTTCTGTAAATTCAACAGTTAAAATAAGTGGGAAATGTAAACTGCTAGAGGTTCTAAGTACATAGAAGACTTGGCTTATTTTGACTGCAAGAAAAATATTTAATTTTCGTGTTGTGAAATCAATGTGTAGCTTTTATATCTGTCAAGAATTGTACTAGGATAGGATGTTGCTGAATCCCCTTTCATGACCTTCTGCCAGACATTGTGATCATCTGCATGTTTTTGGTCATGTTTAGCTAGCCCATTGTGTTACATATTCTTAGATTCAGAGAGAAAGTGGATAAAATTTTCATTTACAGAAGTAACTTGTCACTTAAAAAGACTTCTGAATTATTGGCCCTTCTTGTTATCCTTTTATTTTGTTTTCTTAATTGTGCACTGTATAGAAATGTCTCATTTTGTGTGTTCAGACCTTCTCAGTTGTGTCTTGGAAAGGACAGTTTTTCGTAACCAATTATTTCAGCAAGATAATGGTTGAAAATGTAGGCATTTTAGTCATGCTTAACTGACTGCTGGACTACATCCTTTTTAACATGTGAGTAGTGAGAGTTGTTTTGGTTGGTTGCACAGGGAACTTTTCAGTGCTGTTTCATGAGTTGGTATTTGTAGCTGAATACTGAAGCCTGTTTAGAAAAGGGCCGGGAGGAGCACAGTTTTGATGTGCTACTTGTTGAACTGTAATCTGCAGGTGGCCTAAATAGTACCGTTATTTGAAGCTTGATTGGCAAATAGAGGCAAAGTAAGCCAAGGATCTTTATAGTTTCACTAACCATCTGGACAGTCTCTGTTGTTTGCCTTTGAAGAGAGTCAGTTGTATATACCCAGCGTGAGGTTAGAACCGGCACACTTTAAATTATGAACTTCCCACTGGAGATCTAGTCCCATCCATCTGCTGTTTTTGCAGAGCACCCACTTTGCCGTCTTTGAACTTGAATGCCAGCAGCAGCAGTTGTCTTTTTCTTGTATGTGGAAAAAGGTGATGGATGGAGAGCCAGAAAAACAGGAATGTGTTCTGCTCCTGGGTGTTCTCCTTACTGAAATTAACATTTCTGAGAACTTCAACCGTTTATATTGTGTAGACTCGACATTTAAGAAACAAGCTTAAGGGATGATCTGTTTCTTTGTTTTTACATGATTGTGGGATTTGGAATGATCTTTGGGTGTTTCAAATTAATATACACTGATGAATTGTGCAGAAATTAATATGGTTCCAGATGGAGACTATTGGAGATGAACTTCCTTCCAAGTGTTTTTCTTTTTTTAAACCTTATGGATCACAACTGCAAAGATCTAGTATTTGTGCAGAAGTTGGGTACTCAGAAACTGAGATGACAGAATTGAAGTCACTGGTGCAACTTTATTCTCCTTCAGGAGATGAATTTCCTTATTCCCCTCCCTTGCTCATCTATAACTGCATTTATAACTAAAAAAAATACAGTGGACAATTCTGTGTTTAGTAGTGCTCACTCTTCACTGGTACTTTCGTAGGTGTAATGTCTCTGTAAGAATAGCAAGTGTGTTCTTGTGTGCTTAAATTGAGATTGAAATCTAGGAGACCTGATTTCTATTCCTGGCTCTTGTGAGGGTGTCCTGTATTGTTTTGGGACAGAGGATGTAAATACATTTGAACAGATGACCTTCATCAAACTCCTATGAGAAATGTTATCCTTGGCAATTCCTAATGTTTTCCTTTAACATTGCTAATTAAATGGACTGTCCCTTTATGCCTTATGATTTAAGTGTACCAATTTATTTGGGTTTGGGATTATTCTATAGGAGGATAAAGATACGGATTCCACCAAAGAGCCTTTGGATGACTTATTTCCCAATGATGAAGATGACCAAGGACAAGGAAGTAAGTGCACTTCAAATTAGAATGTTAATGTATTTCTGCAATGCGAATATAAAGATGCTCTTTACAAAAATGAATCCATGCTTGGGGCTCTCTGGGACACAGTGGGAGCAGTGAATGCCCCTGCTAGAATAAGGAAGCCAGTCATTGATATACATTGTGTACATTGATATGTACAGAACCGAAGCCTAGGTTTCTAAAGAGTTTACTAGCTGTTGTAAAGTTCTTGGGACTGGCTTTGTTCAAAATTGGTCCCACAGGCTTTCCAGAATGGAAGAGGTTTGTTTCAAGTGACTGAGGCAGATTCTGAAACATTGAAGCTTTTTAATCATCTGCCCAGATGGTGAATTCTGTTAATGACCTTTTTAATGATCCGATTTAACATTTTGGGGCAGGTTTCAGTGTGAAGTCTTTCTCATACAATCTTTTATTCTTTCCTAAGGTGGTTGTCTTTAGTTTTACTGCTCATTCTAGGAGTATTGTCTTCAGGTCAGAAGGACTGATGAATATGCAGTGAAGTTTAAGGTAGACGTTTTGTAGCATGATTGAAAGAAGTTGTTAACAGATAAGCCTTGATTTGTGAAATGTTGTATTTTTTGTATGAGTGTAAAGCTTACACTATGCAAGCTATGGATGTCGTAGTGTATATGCAGTGTGCTAGTAGTATAATGGTTCTTAGTAGGCAAATGACTTCAGAAAAAATTGTGTGGAGAGTCCCACCTTTGTAATGAGCAGTTTGGAGTTTCCTTTACGGGCATGTACGCGAGTGTCCTGCATGTGTGATAGCACGGTAATGCTATCCATAACTGGCAAGGGAAGGAAGACTTGAAGAGTTTTGCTTAGGTTAGTGGTGACCATGGACGCCATCCTGAGCTCATCGTTCCTTCCCTAGAATTTCATAGAGGAAAGTCGAATAACAAAGCTGTCTGTATACCTTCATCTACCTTATTTTGCTTTACAAAAGACAAAGTTGATATTTCAGTAATTTCCTTGACCTCTAGGAAAAATACTGGAATGCTTCAGTGCTTTGGTAGGCAGTGATTGTGGGTGTAGGCTTGGAACTGGATGATTCCATGGACATAAAAATGCTCCCACTTGCTGTGAGAGTGTTTTTTTTGCTTAATAGAAAGGAGAGGAGAAAGTCAGGCCCATGGCTGGAGCCCTTATCCTGTATGTTGTCTAGAGTTTAATGAAAATGAGTAAGAGGTAATTTTCTCAATCTTCCCAGAAATCACCCAGGTGAAGAGAAATGAGGTAGTAGATTTTTGGGTGGAGGTGGGAGGGTGGAGTTTGCAACAACCAAAGGTTAGGAGCTACTGGAAAATAAGTGGCTAAGCCTGAGTGTTAGTAAGTAAAACCTAAAGGCTGACGATGGCTTTTATAACTTGGTGCCTTTTCTATTTGTGGCATCCAAGGTGTTTTAATCCTTTATGTGCCAGCCTTAAGTATTCCTTGCTATAGCAAACGAAGCGAAAGAAAAAAAATACGTGTGTTTAGAGAAGGAAAATACAGGGAAAAGGACAAATCGTGAGCATTTCTGCAGGTCTTTGGCTTATATATGTTAATGTTCGTTTCCATAGGGAAACATTGATGTTTGTAAGTGCAAAATTATGATATAATCTTGAGAATTGTCAATGATTTGCCGAGCTGAAAGAGTTTCCTACTTTCTTCATTGGTTTGTTACATTTGGCCCTTTGAGCTAATAGAAGTGTAAAATAATATTGCTACAACACTAGACAGAGTATGAAGAATAAAATGGTTATGTTTTCACTGTCACTATTCAAGACAGCACGACTGCTGTGAAGTATGTCCTAGTACTAATGTTTTGTATTGAAGAAGTAAAATTAAATGAGTCTCATTTTGTGTCATCGAGCAGTAGTATTAGATGTTTTAATTACAATCATCTTTTAAACAACTTGAAACCTTGTGGATTTCTTTCAGTTCAACAGCAGCATAGCAGTGCAGCAGCTGCTGCCCAACAAGGTGGCTATGAAATTCCAGCAAGGTTAAGGACCCTTCATAACCTTGTTATTCAGTACGCTTCCCAAGGTAGATATGAGGTTGCTGTACCTCTCTGTAAGCAAGCGCTCGAAGATCTGGAGAAGACTTCGGGTCATGATCATCCTGATGTTGCCACTATGTTGAACATTCTTGCTTTGGTGTACAGGTTTGTATACTGACATAGATTAATATTTGTTAAATAAATAGTATTTGGCTATAACTTGTTAATGTTCAGACTAATATTTTTTGACTGTTGTGTTATTTTCCATTCCCTGTTTTTTACTAAAACCCTCAAGAGGGTCCTGCAATATGTCTCCCTGTACTAAAAGTCAAGCTGCTGTGTTTTTGCCTATGCCTTTGTTTTGGGAGTGAAGCTATTTTTCATACTTTTTTTCTGGTGTGTATTTCTACTGAGGGAGCATGTCTTGATTACTCATTTACATATAATCTAGAGGTATAAATTGGAGAGGAATGTAAAAGTAGTACATGCTAGTCCTCAACCAGCAAATTACTTAACAGTTACAGGCTTCAGGTTTTTGTTTCCTGTTTTCTGAATGTATTCTGAATTACTCTTGTTTTGTACTAGTGTCTTTAGGCCAGTACTGAAGTCAGCTTCGTTTTTGTGACTTTCTTTTCTGAATCCTCAGTATTAATTATGACTGTTTAAAATTTAGAGACCAGAACAAATACAAAGATGCAGCAAATCTCCTGAATGATGCCTTGGCTATCCGTGAAAAGACTTTGGGCAAAGATCATCCAGCGGTTTGTATACATGCAATATCATATATTTAGTTGTGTTTTTCACTGAATTTTTTTCAACTCATTCTAATATTAAACTCAACAGGAAAGATTTTAAGACCTGGCTTATCTCTAAACAGTACAGGTAGGAGGCCACAAAGTAACATTGCTCATTTTCTCTTAAATATTTAATGTACCTTTTCAGCATTATATCCAAATGCTGTTTCACCACAAATGACTTGCACACACTTGATTTTTGGGTTGCATGGGTTTTCTATGGGAAATTAATTTGTGAAGAAAGACTTTTAATTTGCTTACTCAAATCACTTTATTAAACTCAGATTGAAGGTGTACTTTTGATTTGTTTTACTGCTGCTTTTAAATGAAACATAAATCAAGCTTTTGTATTTAGTGTTTAAAATTAATGTGATATCTCACTTCATTTTGCCTGTGTGAAGCAGGGCAGCTCTGAGTATAGATTTGAGAGGTGGCTTTGTAAGAGGAGAACATATGAAGAAAATGTATGCGCTAAATTACATTTCCACAAATGAAGCAAAAGTATTTGATTTTGTTTTTCTCTTTTCTCATTTATGTGTTTATGCATTCAGCAATGAAATTTGCAAATGAAGAAATAATTAAGAGGTCTGCCCTGAGCATGGAAAATTTGAAAGCATCAGTGCGTTGCAGATGTGTGTGTTTGTCAGATACGTGTATCAGCAAATTCCAGTGTAATTAGTGTTTCTCTACTCTTGACAGGTGGCAGCAACTCTAAACAATCTTGCAGTACTTTATGGTAAAAGAGGAAAGTACAAAGAAGCTGAACCATTGTGTAAGCGAGCTCTGGAAATCAGAGAAAAGGTATGAGTATTCTTTTATTATCAGAGAAAAGGTGCTGTATTCTTTAAATTGATTTTTTTTTTTTGAGGGAAAGGGCAAAGCTAAACACTTTTTTTTTTTATGTTTTGGTTGGGTAGATCTTCCAGATAAACCACAGAGTTAGCAATGCCGTAGTAGCTATCAGTGTCTAAAATTCAAACCAGTAGTAAATTCCAGTAGTCTTATGGCCCCATTGGAGCACTCTGGATATATTCTAAATTCTGTGTTTAGTAGTTTACCTTCTTCACCTTTTTCTTTCCCTTTTGATTGTTAAGTAGTCTTTGATTTGACAGGAGCACTGGAATGAAAAATGAACCATCATTAAAATTGATTGATTAAAAAGTTGATTATTCTATGTGAATGTTTATTCTAGTCCATGAGACTGAACGTCTGCATCTTCAGGCTTCTTTATATAATAGGCTGCATATAATGTTATCATACTGCTTACATTATTCCTGTTATGGATTCTTCTGCCCCGTTCTCAGTTCGTAATAGAATTGAATAATTTTCATATCTTTCAAATGCAAATTTTGCTTTTGTCATCTTCATGTTGAATTGACGAGGAATAAAAACTAATGGGGTATTTCTAAATGATGCATTTCTAAACCCTGATATGATGATTGGAGAATGTTTTAATACAAGGTATTTCGTTTTCAGGTCCTGGGGAAAGATCACCCTGATGTTGCCAAACAATTAAACAACTTGGCTTTACTATGCCAGAACCAGGGTAAATATGAGGAGGTTGAATACTACTATCAGAGGGCATTGGAGATTTACCAAACTAAGCTGGGACCAGATGATCCAAACGTTGCAAAAACAAAGAATAACCTGGTAAGCAAATCTACGAAAAAGAATTGAAATGCATCTTTATTCAGTGTGCGTTGTATTTGTTATTTATCAAGCTAAACAAAACAGTGTGCTGATACCTTTTGGGGGGTATTTTGTTTTTAGGCATCCTGCTATCTAAAACAGGGCAAATTTAAGCAAGCGGAAACTTTATACAAAGAGATTCTTACTCGTGCCCATGAACGGGAATTTGGCTCCGTAGATGGTAAGAAGCGTAGTCTCTAGATCTGAATGTGTGTTTTATTTTTATAATTGCTATGAGATAAAATCTGTAGACGTTATTTGTATCCTGATTAAAATCATTGTCTGCTTGAGGTAGACTTAGAAGTGATATTATAGATGTGTTGAATGTTCATCATAAGAAAGCATTTAAGTACAGCAGTAACATTTGATTCGAAAGGAGAGTTTTTCTTACATGAGGCAGGCTTGGTAGGTTTATGACACGCAAATTCGTGAAGCGTTCCACATTTTTTTTTTGGGCAACCTGGTGTAGTGGAGGGTTTTCCTGCCCATGGCAGGGGGGTTGGAACTAGATGATCTTTGAGGTCCTTTCCACCCCTAACCATTCTATGATTCTGTGTTTTATGGATTGTGTTTCTGGCATAATTTATCTCATGCCCGGCCAAAACCAATTTTGGTATTTTTATGGGGGCAGAAAAATGTATGTCACGTTCCAGTCACAGGAAGAAGTCAGTGCAGAATTTTTAGTGATGTAATAAACACATTGTTGATGTGAGTCCTCCATTAATACATTTCAAAAATGAGGAAAATACCCTTAAATTGCAAATTACGCTGTGCATTGAAGTTGAATGCATTTTATCAACTACAAATCACAGTGAAGAATTTCGTTGCATTCTATGACAGTAGCATATGCACTACTTAGTAGGTGTCAAAACAGTTGTCATGATAAAAGAAATAAGTGCATGTTTTCTGGTACAGAACTAGTCACCTGACACATCAATGGCAGCATACACTGACTTCAAAGCTTCTGAGAAGTACCTGTTTCTAAGTTCAGATAAGAAAATAAGACAGAATTGTAAAACTACAAAAGTGGTGCATGTTTTATTTATCTACTGCTTGTAGTATGGACAGGAAGCTTTTTGGTAGTGGTAATAGTATAATTCTCTGGTTCGCAACTTCATTTCAGAAGAGTGAAAATCAAACAACGAATACTTTTATAGTTTTGTACTTCTATAAAATGTTTTCTTCTCTTTCATCAGATGAAAATAAGCCTATTTGGATGCATGCAGAAGAGAGGGAAGAATGCAAAGTAAGGCCGTTGTCATAAATCTTTTTTGGAGCTTTTACTATTTAAGTTACAAATCAGTTATTTGTCTTCAATGCTACTTTTGTTTTAGGGAAAGCAAAAAGATGGCACATCTTTTGGAGAATACGGTGGCTGGTACAAAGCTTGCAAAGTTGACAGGTGGGTAATTTCTTCACAGTACAAACAACGTGGCAAGACCCAGTGTCCAGAAATGTCAGATTAAAGCATGTTTAACCATGAAGCCAAACCAGCTATTTGCTTAGGACTGTAAAAACTATAGCATCAAAAATTCAGGCCCCAAGACTGGATGTCAGGAACACAGTAGCAGGTTTCAAATCCCGAGGCTGCTTTTAATCTAGGCTGGTTAGATCTAGTAAGTGACATAAAAATTCACCAGTTGTGTTCTTGGCAGTCCTTCACGTGGAAGCACAGGTCACCTTTCTTTCTTTTTGTACCGTTGGTTAGTGTATGTGCTCCCCTTGCCTCAGCAAGGCCTCTACAGAGAGCCAGAAGCATAAAGGAGGCTGTGCAAATAGCTGAGCCTTGAGTTTTCTAGCTGGCAGAAGAAAGCAAACTTAAACTACCACAATTCAGCATTATTGGAGTTTCTAAAGCTTGAAGAGTATATTTCTGTGAAAATGAAAATGTGTACTTTAAAATGGAAAAAGAGAAACAAGGACTTCAGCTTGAATTTTACTTGGTGAAATAATTTTTGTTTGCTTGAATTTCATTCCTTAGATGCCTTTTTTTTTTTTGATGTATAGGTAGTACAATGTCAGGGAAAAAACTGCACCTAGTACTAATAATGTTCAGTGAGAGTTTTTTGTCTCTTCAGTGTTCGAATTCTTGTAACAAGCAGCAGAACCTTTGTACTGTTGAAATCTGCTTTTTTTCCCCCTCCATCCTGAACTCTGGGTGCAGTACATTTTATTGGTTTATTTTTCTTGTACTAGTTCATTCTAATGCATGAGGAAGTCTTTTCTCTGCTGTTACTGGAGCAAAACTTCAAGCAACAATACTGTGGCTGAGCTAATTCTTGTTGCATCATTGAAACAAAAACGTCTTGTTGGAGTGTGAGACTTGTTAATGGAATGTGCGATATTTTTTCTTTTCCTTTGTTGTTCAAACGCAGTTCGAATGCATAGAAACTGCAAATAGGTGTGACATAAAAGCTGATGAAAGGAACTGTTAATTTGTATTGTGACTAACACATGCTACAGTAATGGTCACTGTATGCATGAGTAGGCATATTTTCTGGAAGCTTCACAATTATTCAGTTGGACACGCTCTGATTGAGCTAAATTTTCACCTTGAGAAAGCATCTGTGAAACACAAGGCTATAGCACTCCAGTTTTTTCCTGGGTAGGTCTAGAGGCGTCGAGATGTCTCTAATGTCCATTTTCAGAGCTGTTGACTAATCATAGTGGGAGCCGTTAATGCACTTTGAAAGGGGTTAACAGATTTTTCCATGTACATTAAGCGCAGTATAGTATATTCCAAGAGAGGCTTATTAAATAATTATCAAAACCACGATAAATACTATATTAATTTAAGTTTTTATTGGTTTGTGAATTGAGAAAAGTTTAATGTATGTGTATATGTATGCACTTTTTCTTTTCTTTAAATAGTCCAACAGTAACAACTACCTTAAAGAACCTTGGGGCACTTTACAGACGACAGGGCAAATTTGAAGCTGCTGAAACATTAGAAGAGGCAGCAATGAGATCTCGTAAACAGGCGAGTATGAAAATTTGCGTTAATATTTCTGCAGCGTGGTCATGCAGATTTGCAACTTGATTATTGTACATGCAGAACGTGTGAACTTTTAGCTATTCAGCTTCTGTTGCCTGGTGTTGCCCTCTAATTTCAGTTTGAACTGGTGATAAACCGATACCATCTTAACACTTGCAAACTGGTTAATTGCTAGGGCAGTGGCACCATGTACTGGGGGCATGATTCAAATTGAGGGTGAAGTTATGTGGAAAATGGAAGAGCAGAAAACAGTGTCAGCCAGCAGTCCTCAATTGGCTCCATGTCCTGGGAGACAGTAGCTAGGAGAAAATGGAGAGTTTATGCTGATAATCTCCTTTGCCAGTAACACTGTTCTACTTTTAATAAGGAGCTGTCAAACTTACAAATGTTCTGTTTCTGCGTACAACTGACTGGCTCCTGCAGACCTTCAGAAGTCCATTATGAATTTATCAGTTGCTGTTTCTGTTATTTGCAAACCAGTGAGCTTGTAGTGATAGGACAAGGGGTGATGGCTTTAAAGTGAAAGAGGATAGGTTTAGATTAGATCCAAGGAAGAACTTCTTCACTCTGAGGGTGGTGAGGCACTGGAACATGTTGCCCAGAGAAGTTGTGGATGCCCCATCCTTGGAAAGTGTACAAGGCCAGGTGAAAAAAAAAAAAAGGCCAGAGCAAAAAAGTTCCTGGTAAACCTCATGCTCTTCTAGTGAATTCATCAAGAGTTCTCTGTGATATAAGGTGGCATAAGTTCTTTCTTCCACAAAGAAAAGACACAAAACTCGTGTTTGCCAAATAAATGGAATGAAACTGGTAAGGAGAAAATAAGAATCTGGGGAAAAAGTTCTTCAGCAAGAAAAACTCAAAGGTGGGGGGAATAGTTGATACAGATACTTTCTTTTACTGAGGATGACTTTCACATACTTTCACTGAAGGTTCATTTTCAGCACGTCTCATTCAAATGCGATTCGAAAATATGAAATGAACGTGCCCTGCACCTTAACGTATTCGCTTTGGTTCTTAGTTTTACTGTTGCCATTACATGTGATAATTTTTTAGTGTGATCAGATACAACCAGGATAAATTGGCATAATACAACAGTAATAAGGCGACTGGAAGAACACTTAGCTTTAGCTTGTAGTTACATTTATTTCCTTTTGTATATAAAAAAAGCCAAAACAAAACATCAGCTTTTCAAGTTCAAATTTTTGCTGTGAAGCTTGGACTTTATTTGGGAATTTGGCTGTTTAATCAGCCCACCTCTGGCTTGCCAGTACCACTGCAAAAAACGTTACTTGTCTCCATGTTCCATAGAGCCTGCTGAAGGCTTGCTGCTGCCTCTTTATTTTTATTAAGCGTGCTGCAGGTTTGCGTTGGAGCATCGTATGCTATCTATACCATTGTACCATAATCTATCCCATTACACACAGCACTAGATTGGGACATGCAGGAAACAGTGCTGTCTTACTAGTAGCATTTAACACTACCTTCCTATTCTAGGCCATTCAAGTAAAGGAGAACAGACAAGGTTAATGCACGTCCCCTTTAGAGCTAAAAGCAAAGAGGTACTTTTGTTCCCAGGTGTGGAAAAGCATCAGTCCTCCACTTTAAGACCACTCAAGTTCTTTGTTCTTCATCTTTCATGACAGGATCAAACAAACTGGGAAAGTGCAGTTCCCTGTCCCTCCATTATTAATTATTTTTTTTAACATATGTGGTAAATGAGACGATAGCTTTGGACAAAGCCTAGAGGCTGTATGTGATACATCACCTCCTTAGTGTGGTGATTTTAAACAGTTTTATGCTTTTTGTGTTCTGTGCTGCGAAAGGGATTGATGCAAAAACTGTTCTGGGCCTACGCTTCTCTCCTGTCAGAGAGCTTTAGCCACTTTCCTGCACCATACAGCCACATGGAAGTGAAAGTGTGATCGTCGTATGTTAGTTTCATGCTTCTTCGTGTATAGAATTCCATTCCACAGAGGGCTGTTCTGCTCTTCAGTTAGTGGAAAGCAGCTATATGGGAACCAAGAACCTGATTTCTCCATGCCACTAAAACAACTTTCATTCTTATTCATGCAGTTTACTTTTAAGTAGAATTTTGGTGTGATTTTTCACTTTCTGTGTTGTGGTAGACTTTAAGAATTTGTCACACAGGTATTTAAAGTATTATTTGGTAATTGATGAGCGTTCTTTAACACAAGGTAAACACATTTTATTGACCATATGTATAGTCAGTTCTATTATAAGCTTATTTTCTGTTTGATTTATTCCTGAAGGATAAATTACACTACTGTGCCAAGTATCATATGTCAATATTTTTAAATAACGCAACCTGTGTCTTAGGTATTAGATATTCAGACACCTGCAACGTTCTTTCCAGAGGTGGGTGAATACAGCACCATTTGATAGGTGGAAAACTGAGAATTGCATTGACTGTTCATGATCTATAAATTGCTTAAATATTAAGCTGGTGGCCAAATGACTTCAGGTAAGTGACATGAACACCATGAGACTTTGACAAGTGACAGGGAAGGAGGAAAAGAATGTCAAGTCATGGAATTCTCAAACTGTCTGTCTGCTTCATGCTGGGTTGTTTCCTGAAATGTATAAAGAGCAACTCATCTTAACCGCCGCCCTTTGAAAGCAGAATTGGGGTGATGGAGTTACGGGTTGGTTTGACTTGATAGGGTTATTGTGTGTAAGCTGTAGATGAATACAGCTTGTAAGAAAATAAACCTTTTCCCGCTTTATCTGGTTCTCAGGGTCTTGACAATGTTCATAAACAGAGAGTTGCTGAGGTGCTGAATGACCCTGAGAGCATAGAGAAAAGGCGAAGCCGAGAAAGCCTCAATGTTGATGTGGTAAAGTACGAGAGTGGTCCTGATGGAGGCGAGGAAGTGAGTATGAGCGTAGAATGGAATGGGGTAAGTACAGTACACAGTTAAGAAAATAGCCTAGATAAATTACCACCGTCACAAACATGGTTATCCATTCACCAGCCTGTTTTCAGTATTTTCTCGGTTGATCTACTTTGTATTTTGTAATTTTGCAGAATCAATTAGGAAATGAAGAGTAACATTTTGGTTTTTATAACATATTGTAAAAAAAAAGTAATATTTTAAAATTTTAAAACATCCTTTCTGTTGTTGTCTTGAATGGTGAAATTTCTTCAAGAATCCCAAGCAGTTGTATTTAACTCGAAGTTGTTCAATGCTGATTGAGTGTCCTGGTTATGGTCTGGTGTACAATTGCTTGTCAGTGGTTTCTTTTTACTGGTAGAAATACTCTGGCAATTAACTTACTTTTGCTTTTGTCCTTTTGATGCCGTATTTGCCCGTATTTTAAATGTTTCTTTAAAGATACTGTATCCGTTGGAATCACAAAGAACATGTGCTGTAGAGATGTGTTAAGTGTTAGCAGTTACAGAGTAAACTAAAGTGATCAGTCTAACACTAAAATAATTCCTACCTCCTCCTTACCCAACTTTTTAGAGGAAGGAACGTAACTTTTCAGACTGCTGTACAACCCATTTTAAGAGGTAGTGCCATCACGTAACAATGTGGTAGTAACTGCAGTGTGATAGTAACATCATGTGATACTGGTTCACTGTAAAACACTGATTGTCATAAAGTAAGAACGTATATGTGATAACATACACGTTTTTCTCACCATTTTCCCTTATTTGAAAGACAGGGCAAGCTTTCAGTTATTGATCTCACGTATTGGCTTACGTAGTTGTTTGCTTCTGTCACTAGCTTTCCTGTGCTTTGTCCCGTTGCTGGCGATGGGATATATATGTTGCACTGTTAACTAACTCCCAGCTGCAATTCTGCTGAAAATGTTCTCTTAGATTTTAAAAGTGGTGTTGCCTGCTTTTGCTTTATGGGAGGGGAAGTAGCCTACTTCACAATGTTTAGTGTTCCAGAGTTTCATTTCTCCTGCAATACAATCTTTTTATTTTCTTTTTTTTTTTTTAGTTACATGAGACAAAGTTTAGCATTCCAAAGAAAAGTTGATAAAATACATAATGCTTTAGTCTTAAAGGAGAATGTTCTTTCCATCTTTGCTTTTGTCTCTTTATTACTGTTTTCTTGGCATTGGTGTTCTCAGTGCCAAGACAGTCAATCAGCATCTATTGTGAATAATACTGCATCATTAATAATGCCAGAGTAAGGTTGGATAACTCTTTTTTTAATTCTCATTTTGCCCATTCAGCATTGGAACTGTGTACTGTACTCCTCCCTTAATTTTCGCTGTACTTTGCATGACTATATGTTCTAAATGGATTAAACTTTTTTCTGTTATTGACATTAATTAAGCATGCAGGTTTTGCATTGAAAAGGCCTTCTGGAAAAGCAATAGACAGTATTTCTAGGTCAATATTTGAATCAAACTCAGTGATAAACTGTTGATTTGAAAAATTAAATTTTGATCTCTCAAGGCAAACAAACTTAATCATTTTTAGTGTGCTAAAGTAGCATTGCTTTATTCTTAGCTTCACTACTTCTTTTTTTTCCCCCTCTTAAGAGAAGGTATTTTGTATTACATTTTACATAAAGTGGGCAACACTCTCTCCCTTTACCCTGCCAGTGTTTCTATCTTAGTGCTCTTCTTCCCTCCATGTGATATCATGTAGATTTCTTTTTTACCCTTGTATGTTCCCTCCAGACAAAATATTCTGATTCATAAAGTATTGTAGAATTCTATTATCAGGCAGATACTGCTGTGTGTGGAGCCTGAAGAGAGGCCTGTCTTTTCCCTGTTAAATTCTTCTCAAGTGCTCAAGCTGACTCGTGTTCTTGGCTGTCAGAGAGAATAGGTGGAGTGTGTAAAGCAACAAACTTGAATGAAAAAATTTTGTTGGAAGTTTTATTGTAATTAAGTGACTTCCATATGGAATGTAGTCCCTATTAAGCATTGTATGCTTTGATGTAATGTCTTCCATTCTTCTAAAAAGTACTAAAGTACCTGTTGAAGTAAATCTGTCAGTAACTATTAAAATGGACGTGCTAAGTGAAGTGGTGCAGTGCATATTTATATGTTCCTTGTAAAGTCCATCCCTTAAAGTCAACAAGAGATACTTGAAAATGCAAAGAAATACTTTGTCTTAAAAATGCAAGGTAAAAATCCCAAGATTTTTATCCCTCATTATGTTTGTATATTAAAAATGACAGTGGGTATCTGTAATTGGAATTTTTTCTAAATTGATCTTGCAGCCAGTTGGTGGACAGATAAAAATTTTCTTGGTATGATAGTGTTCAGCTTAAGATCACGTTTTTAGTGTGAGCAAGTATCTTTTATTATTCTAAATAGTATGCTTCAAAAAGACAAGCTTTTGGGCACATCAGTCCACTTTCAGGTGTGGGACAAAAGGAATTAATTTCACTGCCGTAGAGTAGCTGATGAGAGTTGCTCTTCTTCAATAAGAAGTGCCACAGTCAGAGCAGCAACTACACCGTACAGGAGATGATGATGGTGGGAGGTGTAATCAAAAGTAATAAGGTGATTGTCGTTCTGAGTGACATAAAAATTGGCAATTAATCTTTGCCATAGAAATGGATATCTCAGATTTTTTTTGTTTGCTTGTTTACATTGGATTTAGGAATCTTTTTTTATCCTAAGCTCATGTTTTAAAGATATTTTGTTAATCATGCAGTGTTTAACTTGGAAGTTCAATGTTTTTATTTCGTATTTGAAGTACTCAAAAGCTTGTGTGCTTATTCCTAACGTGCTCGTTAGCATAAAAAAAGTTACACTCTATACCTACCAAATTTGTCTTGCCTTTGTTCATTGGATCCTTCTCACCACTAGAGCATCAGCTGGTTTAAAACCATAGAAATAATTAGCCTTGTAACTGATCTAATGCTTCTAACTGGAATTTAGACTTCAATTCATTCAGTTCTGCAAAGCTGAAGTCTCTTTTTAAAAGTGTGAACAATAATATATGCATTTTAGTTTCAAACATAAATACTCGGTTAGATTTTGATCTCCCAGTCATTTGGTAGCAAGGCGTTTTGCCGTTTTCAAAAATAATTTTAATTATTGTTCATTCCAATTGCTATAGGTAGAGGCTTTCAAAACCAGTATCTTAAGACTATCAGTAATGGTTCCTGTACTTAACACTGAGAACGGAGAGCATGCAAATGGAACCACAGCTTATATTTAGAGGTGGATTCTTTCAGCTGGCTCACTGCGTTAAGGAATGTACAGAAGCTTCCACTTGTATAATATATATATATATATATATATATACACACAGATATGTTTAAAAAATACTTGCGAGGTCAGTTGGATTTTAATTCTTTAAAGGAATGAACAGAATTTTGTCTGGAGGTTAGGGGAAGACCTCTTTCTTCTTGCAGTTTTGTTGCGAGGAAAATTCCTGACAGAAGTTAAAGCTGAAATGAATGCACCTTGCTCTGTTCCTTTCTTCTGTTTTTTTTTTTTTTCTTCTTTGTTTTTGTGTTAATGTCAGCTGAAAAAAAATTCCTTTCTTTGTTTACAAAATGCAGTACTAAAGCTATCCCTTCTTAAAGGTGGTTTTATTTTATACAAATTCTAACTTAAAGAATGCGCAGCGTCATTCATGCTTGTTAGTAAGTCGCGTATTAGTGACGTAGGTGAAACTGGCCAAAGATGTACGTTCTGGTAACCGAAGGGCCTGCACTTTGTACTTAAGGGCAGCCCAAATACTCTGGAAAAAATATTTGGGATGTGACCTAGAAATACTGTGAAGATAACTGTTCAAAATTGAAAACTGTTGACTTTTTCCCAACAGTTTCATTCAGTTTTTCTCTCTCCGTTTCTGACAGGCCTAGATGCCTTTTGTGATTCTTATACTGTCTCCTGCATGACGGGCGTGCACCATCTTCAAGCTTTAACTTCTCTCTTCAGTACTGACTGCTGTATTTTAGCAAACCCCTTAAGATTCTTGTCAGAGCTACACTTCCCTGTAAACTGGCCATTCCTTCAGTGCTGGTGTCTTTTTTTGGTTTTCTATTTCTGTACATGTGTAGCTTTGCCAGATATGTATCTAGTCATACAAAATGTTACTACAACCATTTGCTGTGTAATACATTAGTTTAAAAAAAAAAGCGTAACAATGAACCTTATAAGTAGCTGTTCACTATGGAAAAAAGGTAGTTAAAAGTATCACACAAGGTATTATTGAAATGGCATGATGGTGATCTTTACAGGAGAAAAACAAAACACAACGCGTACCAGTAAGGCATGTTCTCCAAGTGCTTTAAAATGTATTTAGAGACCTATTACCTGGTTAACATCAATATGGAACTCTGGATGTCTTCACTTATGGTTATTCTAAAGTAGCATTGCTGTTTAGTCTTTGTGTGAGATTTTGGCAATTATGCTTTTCTCTACTAATCTTGGTGTTCAGTGATTTGTGTATTTGTCTTTCTAACTTCTAATAAACTCACTCCAACTCAGGCGTCTGTCTTTGTCTGCTTAGTAGTACTCTACTTTCTTCTTTCACAATTCTTCTTTCATAATCACGTAGAATTATTATGAAGTAGGAAGTGTTCACTTCTAATCTTACTAACTGTTGGGTTTTTTTTAAGAGTAAAACATTTAAAAATAGAATTATGGTCAGTTGGAAGCTTCTTTGGATCAGCACAGCAGTGTAAAACATGAATGCAATGTATGAAAAATTCATTTCATCGTGTTTTACTTTTTCTTTGGTGAGAGTTAAAATGAAGCACTGAAATTTAACCTTATATGTTTCTGATCAGAAATATTTTTGTTTAAGGATTTTACGATTAATTAAACATGTTTGCAAGTAATGTAGATGTTTAGAAAGAATAAAAGAGTTTCTTAGATGATGGAATGCTTTTGCTTGGGGCTTGTACTCTGTTAACCACAATGCACTCATATGAAATGTTAACGTGGTGATGGTGAATTGTTTGACTACTGTAGTGGGATTTATTAATTATTATGAATCATGGCTTGAGCATGTCTTCCCATTTTAGAAATCTTTTGTTACAGTTTGGAAGGACCCATTTGTTTTGGTAAAGTTGTAGCTATATGGTATTATGTGTTTAGGTAATTGTACCAAGTATATATGAATAGCAATAAAAAAAAAATTAATTCATCAATGACATACTTTTGAGCCAAGTTTTGGGGGTGGGCAATAAACTCTTGCAGTTTCACATTTGTTCAATTTTTTTCAGGATGGCACTGGATCTTTAAAGCGCAGTGGTTCCTTTAGCAAACTTCGTGCTTCCATTAGACGCAGCAGTGAGAAGCTGGTTAGAAAGCTGAAGGGAGGAAGTTCACGAGACAGTGAACCAAAGAATCCAGGGTAATTGTCTATTCTTAGCTGTGCTGGTGTGCCGTTGTTCTGTGCCCCCACTGCAATACCTAGGGCAGTGTTTTCCTCTCTGTTTGGCTAACTGCTATCATGTAGAGTTATATCTTAAAGAATAATAAAACAGAAAACAATTTCTTATACGGAAAGTTCTGTAACATCTGAGGGATTATGTTTGCTTTTAACTCAGTTTTTAACAGTGGTTTTTCTGGTTTTACTGCCTTGAAGAATACAACAGTCTCATAGAATTATTAGTACGTGTTAGTTGCCTGCAAAATTTGCCTTTTCACACAGCAGTAAAGAATGAGAAAAGCTACTGAAAAGCTTGAATGAGGTAAACTCACAACAAACATTTTTGATACAGATTAATACATTTACATATTGCTGTGAGTATAAAGAGAATTACTGACTTGAGCCCTTCTCAGTTTCTATTTTTGGAAAACCTGGATGTCAGAGAGCAGAGGAAAATGTTGAAAATCTTAACGTAGTTGTGCATCTCTTGAATATTTTGGCCTCAGTGAAGTCAGTGGCAAAAATTCAAATTTTAATGAGTCTGACTTCTCAGTCTTTCCTATTTACCATATGATTATGGATTTGGATTTATGTAATATTTCTAATAACTGCATTAAAACCTTCATCATTTATTGCCTGCTGCAGAGAAGTTGAAATGTTAAAACGTAACACTATTTTTCATCCCAGCACTCATGGGTGTTCCCCCTCACCCACAACATAAATGCTATCAGTTTTGCAGGGCTTTTTTCCCTTTGCTGTGGAAAACTGGAACTTATTTAGTTGGCAGAAAACTGTATGACAATGTGAATTTGAACTTAGGCTGTAACACAGTTAAACTGGAGAACCTGGAGTAACTTCTGATGCAGCAGCTGCATCTATGAGTAATACAGTAGGCGATGATGATTGTAACACCTGAGACAGTGACCTGAAGGCAGGTTCTCCATGTGTTCTGTAGGTGCTTCAGTGAAGTTATGCCTTATTTTATGCTGCTGTAAAACATTGTGTACAGCTGCAGTACATATAGAATTCTCTTCCTTGCACACCTGTTTCAAATTCAGCCTGGTCTGATTTTCAGAATTGTTAATTAAAATTTTCCTCTGAGCTGCCATAGATTTGATGGTGAAGGCACTGAATCAAATTCAGGGTCAAAACTCCCTTTGCATTATGTTGATACATCGTTAAGAACTGCCTCTGAGAAGACAGACTGGGAATAAACTGTGAAAAACATGTAATTAGAATACGGGAAATATGTAAATGTAAAGTCATTTAAGGAAAATAAGCAAAGGCAAGCTAGAATAGAATAAAAGGAATTTCCTTCTTTGCCTTCAGTATTATTGTTTTTATGTGTTGGTTTTCTGTTTCTATTCAGTTCTGTCTAGAGTTCATACATCATAATGCAGGTATATTCCTGTATGAATAGGTGTATATATTGATTTTTCAGCTAATTTTGTATTTTCTCCTCATTTTGATGAGACATGGAAAGGTTTTCAGTTTCTTAAAAGCCAAGAGTTTTATTCCTTGTTCTCTGTAGTAAATAGAGGCAACTTTTTCTGGAGGTAAAGTAACTGGGTGATTAAAGGTGTAGAAAATTATGCTTGCTTAGAAGTGAAGACATTTGGCTTTGCAGTGTCCTGTGAGAACTCCTCTGTCTTTTAATTTCCTGGACTTCCATAGTGGTACTTCACCAACGGAGAAGTAATCTACCCACGTTAACATTAATTATACTGTGGGGTCTGGGTCATCAGATAAGATTTCCTCAAATAAAGATACGAATGTGAAACAAATTTGAAAACAACACAGTATCTTTCTTGCTTTCCCTTTTTGACAAAATATTCTTGGGTTTTAGATGTCACTGTAGTTCTCAGAGAATAATTTATTCTTAAAACTTGCAGTAAGTGTATTACATTGACAGGCTTTTACGTAGATGTGCATATTACGTGGTGTAAACCAAGAAATACTACAGTTTCTGTTCTTGTGAGATACAGACATTTTTTAGTCCTAATTTATATTTGCATTTATTACTAAAACCAGGTAAGATTCCTGCTGTTAAAACACCAGCTTTGTAGTTAAATATAAAATTATGCAGTTTTTATTATGCAAAAACTTTGGGGTTTCATGTGTTTGATAGCTGAAATGACAATGCTGTCATAGCATACATGCAAATAATTTGTGCTATGAAGTCAGCTGCTCTAGGTAGGAGACACACGTGCCTCCCTCCTTACCAGTACAGCTCTGCATTCTCAGCCTGTCTCTCTATGAAGGCTTTACTTCAAAATTGATTTACAGCTTGTTGCTTATTTTGTGCTTCTGTAAACAGTAATTGTCAGTGCTGGTGTGATTCTGAATGAGAAATGCTCCAATAGAAATACGTTAATGTCACAGCAGGAAAGAAAGACTTCGTTTTCATGTTGTTGCTTGATACAGGCTGAAGAGAATAAAGTGGAAAACTCATCAGGGAAATTGTTTCTTTAAAATCATACAAAAGCCTATTTGACAAAGAACAGATCTCGTAAGAACTGTGTTTTTTGAAACATACTATCCCTGAAGCATGGTATCAGTTATTTCTTTCTTTATCATATTTCAGAATTCAGTTCTGCGATAATTGAACTTTGCTTCTCTAGTGTTAGGTTTGATTTTTCACTTTTAAAATTTTGATCATACAAAAGAACAGTTAAGATTTGTAATTTAAAAGGGACGTGGGGGGGAAGCTTTCATTATTGCTGTTACTTATGCACCAGAAAAACGATTGCATGCGATTTGTGCAATCGTGTTTCTAACGTGGAGGGAGTTAAAAGTGTTTTTGCTTGACTAAAGTTATTAATATGTTTATTAAAAAACCACAAACAAAACCACAAACAAGCTAGTATCTCATGTGATTACTTTTTTTTTTTAATTGGCACTTCAACAATAACGTAAAAATACATACGTAATTTACTGGTGGATTTTCTAATTTCCTGGAATGTTTTCCGTAAACCTCTGTGCTCTTTCTCAGAGTCTTCTGTAATGCTTTGTTTGTGTTTTACAGATTAACTTACTTTGACTTCCATATATAACTTCTGGTTTACATCTTTCCTTGAATAAATGAGAGGTGTATACCATGCATGAGTCCTTGCTTTGTTGTTGCTAACACTCATGTCAGCTATTTTAAATTGTGTGCATTTGGAATGTGCAAATTTAATGCTAGGAAAAAACAGTAAGCCGGTGTTACGTAGCAGCTGTTGCCTCCATGTGTTAGTGTTTTGTTTCGTTATTCTGCTAAGCCTCTGCTTTATGAAAGCATTTAAAACATGTGCTTGACTTTGACTGTTAGTAGTCTTGCTTTGGTAGAAAGAAAAACTGGTTAATACCTCATGTGATCTGTATGGATAAACCTTTCCGTGTTACTGGAAGGCATCGGAAGTGTGGCAACGGCCAGTTGTCTAAAGCTGGAGGTAGCCCTGCAGGATTAGGGCATCGTTGCCTTGTGAATAGTTCATCAAATAGGTATTCAGAGTCCTCATTTAGCAGTTTTGAAATAGTCGAAGAGCTCGTGAAAAATCTCAGCACACCAAGTACATTTTAAGTAACGGACAGACACTTTGGGATCAAGGACATCAGACGTTCCAGTTGTAGTCACCATGGTGACAGGAATCTTGAGGCTAATCTTGAATTTCATTACACACAGTTTAAGACATTTTTGTTAAATTTTGGATATGTTTGAGAAACGTAGGTGAATTATTAATCCTTATCTCAAACACCAGCAGGTATTCCTGTTAGTGCAGTGACATTTTGGCCGTCAGTAGCTCCGGTGTAGGTGATCAGTTTTTCTTTCCTCATCTGTTGCTTTCAGTACAGTATTCTAGGGCCATTGTGGCCACTGCTCAGAGCATTGTAAAGCCAAAAGCATAACCAAAGTTAATAGCAACCATCTTCTTTCCCTTCACTTCGAAATGTTTACAGTAATTTTAAAAGGCTTTTTGAAATTGATTCTGGAGACTTACCTAGATGAGGCAGAAAGCACTAAACTAATGTTCATTGTAGCTATTCCAAGTTAAATGCTGCCTATGTGACAAACTAATGTTTCACTTTTTTTTTTCCTGAGTGTTCTGATGCCTTTGTAAGAAGCTGCACAAAACTGAATTAGTTAATTAAAAATCAATGCTAAGTCAGTGTATGAATTTGATATGCTTTAAAACTTGAGATTTTATTTTCAATTGAAATTAAATCAGTTGCCTGAAATGTTTAAGCTCTGAGGAGCTTGCAATGTTATTTCTTTTAACGTGTAATTTAGAACTGAATATAAGCATATTTTAAGTCATGTAGTTATCTTAAAGGGTATCTGTCAGATCAGTTTTGGGGCATTGTTCAAACTCCCGTAACGGTGCGTTGCTCGTTGTTATACTTGTGTTTTTAGAGCTGTTAGTTTTCAGCTATTCTGATTGGTTTATCCTTGCATGTTCACTGTCCTGGTTGCAGCATGAAGCGTGCCAGTTCTCTGAATGTTCTTAACATGGGTGGCAAGGCTACTGAAGATCACTTTCAAGTAAGAAGCCCTACAATATTCTTACCAAAATAGGTATCATTAGTAGGGTTTGGGATAAAAAGAGTACGAGAAATAATAAAACAATAAACTCCCAGTGACTGGTAAGATCCTACTTCAGTAAGGTGTTTCAAGGACATGGTTAAGGCGTCATTCTGAAACACTTTTGTGAATTATGCTTAATTTTAAGCAAGTGCTTGAGTCTGACCTGTAAGGAGCACTGGCTTTTATGATATCAAGCCGTCTCTGGCTTCGGACCTTCTAACTATTACAGTGGATATGAAACTTCCAGAATCTTATGTTCTTGTAAATAGTAATTAAAAAACAAAAAAATTTAAAGCCCAGTTACTAATTTTTTTTTACTCCAGCCCGTATGTTGCACAGGGCCCAGTCATCTTGATGGCTGTACATTTTCAGCTTCCCTTAAATACGACTTCAGTTGTTTCTGAGGTTGTACAGGAGCAGTCTCCTAAAAGTGTGTCTGATCTGTGTTGTGCTTCCGCTAATATCAAACCTTATTTTGCGTAACTGCATATGGTGTGCCCGATGGCTGCTTCCCATCTCCTGTTTTTGCCTAATAAGTCACTGTTTCTTATATTGTCAAATAAGCCAGCAATGTCCTGCATTCTAAACACTGCTGGGCATGTTACTAACACAGTAACTGCAACTAATTTTAGGCAGATAAAATTGCTTCTGTACTAACAAAACTGTATGTGAGGATCTTCCTCACTGTTTGTCCTAAAGTAGCAAGAAAGCCCAAACTGTATGGCTCTCATTTTACTGTTGAATGGCGTAAAGGTGTCTTAACTATATGATCTCTAATGAGCGTAGTGCAGTTTTCTGTGGTGTGAAATGTATGCAGAACTTTGCTTAGCGTGACCGTCAGCCAAAAAGAGAAAATTCCAGCGTAAAGCATAATTCTTCGCAACAACAGTGCCAAGGTTTCAAAATGTCATGCCCTAGGTCCCCCTAAACTGGATCCTTAGTATCTAGTCGATGTGACTTCCAGAAGAGTGGTTTATTGTTTGTCCGTACACGGCGATGTTAAAATTAGTTCTCACTTGGGAACTCTTATAGTTCACCTACTGTAGACACTCATGGCAATTCCCATGGATGGGCTTTTGCATTTCTCGTAAGCTTCAGGTCACGATCCTAAAGGGTCTATAGATCCATATCGGTAGATATTTCCAGCTTTGCTAGTTGAAAGCTGGGGGGAAAAGAAGTTTATTACGATATGGGAAAAAAAGCCCCCTCCCCAACACGAACAAGGCCAGTTCTCCGTAATTCCTTGTGTGTGTGTTCCTATTGGTTAAAGCTAGTAATTTTGTTTACTTGCTTGAACTATCTGGACATCTGCTTAATTTATTTGTTTGTTTTTTTCCCCTTTACACAGGAACGAAATAATTGTCTGACAGACTCAAGAGCTCTGAGTGTCAGTCATACTGATTTGGCGCGTTGAGATTCTTGGACAGAAGCTAGCTAATACTCCTTTGGGAATAAAGAAGCACTGAGACCTTCAAAGCTTTGATTCCTCACCATTATGTATAGGAACACCTAGTTTGTAGATTTTGTTGGGTTTTTTCCAGTGGACTGCTGTTTTTACTTTTCTAAATAGGGATGATTTTAAACATGGCATTAGTGGGTATTTTTGTCGAAAGGAAAATGATATAGATATATATTTTGCTCATTGCACTGCGCCCATTCATGCTCCTTACGTTGAGTTCTTCAATAGATCTGAACATGACAGCAGCCAAAAACCTGTAAAAATATTTAAAGCACACCAAAATGCAATGATGTTTGAAAATGCGGGCAAAATGAAGTGTGTAGCGGTAAATATACACAGTGCTGGAATGAGAAAAGGATAAATTTGTGCATTACTGTCTGAATTCACATTGAGCATACTGTACTGGTGGGGCTTTCATTTTGCACCACTGGTGGTGGTAATGTTAGGAACCTTAGCTGGGAAAACAGCACTTGGACACTTAACCACTAGATTGAGCTATTAAATTTTACGGAAGAGATGGCTGGGGTTATGTTAACGTGCAGATAGCATTAACAGCAATACCTGTGACCATAACTTTGCTACTTGTTGATACAAGTCTTAGGGCACAATAACTGATGGAGACAGGACAGTTGATGTCAATCAGGAGAAACGGAAAATGTTTTCACCTTTACCCTGTACGGTTGAAGAATACTGAAGTTTTGGACTGCAACTGTCCCAGAGCAGCTGCTGTTGCTCTTAGGGAAACGTCAAGCCTCAGGTTGACTTTCTTGCTTGTCCACTGGAATTCACAATCCCGTTCTCTGTTTGCTGAAAGTGCTCCAACGTTTCCTTACGCTGATCCCAAATCCTCATTTCTCCGTAACAGCTGACGACAGCAGAAGCAGGCAGCTGCACACTAGGCTGTTACACTGTGGAGTAGCTGCTGTGCAAAGGACCACTCGAATCGGAAGGGCCCCAGTGGTAGCACTAGGTGGCCATAAGTGACCACAGATCTATGTTAAATCTACTTACGGTTAATATATATGCTGTCTGTATACAGGACTGCTGCTGGAACTAAGTATGTATGTTTTAAATATTTTATAGGCACTAGTATTTCCTTTTGCTTTTCTGTAAAGCCTGTAATTTTGTTCATCTTTTGTAAAAATTCTTACTTATGTGAAGTTGGATGAGAAAGTAAACAAAAAAAGTGTGTGTGTGTACAAACGTATTTGTGGTCATAGTTGCGAGTTGGAAAATGCCGAACAAAATTAACTTAGGGAAAAGCTGGAATATTCATCCAAGGTTAGCACCAACTGAAGGAGGCAAAACATAGGGACATAAGCAAGTTTTAGTATTTAAACAGGCTGTGAAGAGTCACTAGAATTAGTACTTTTTAGAAGTATTTGACTGGCTTTGCATCTGGTTTTAAGTTGGTCACAATAACTGATGCAGAAATTGTGTACGTCGTGCACTTCACTATGTTTACCAGGAGGTACCATCTCTTCAAGGAAAGCTGTGTTTGGTGTACCTGCTGCGGAGAGAGTTTGGAAACGGTGGGACGTGATGCTGCTAATACGTAGAAGTTTTAGCACAGAATAGTGCAATTCATTAATGAACTTGAGCAAGAGCAGATGATTGCTCAGTTATCTTAACAATATGTGCTCCTATGATGTAGACTCTTGTTTTAATCTTTTTATTAAGAGCTTTTTATATGAAAATATACATAATATATATATATACTTCCCTTCCCTTCCCCCCCCAAAGCCAAACCGGTTAGATGTGCCCATTGGTGAATTTGGTTCTCTGCACCAAGCCCAACGGCGCTGGCTCTGCGTGCAGAGCCGTAGG